ACGGCATCACCAAGATGGAAGAGTCGGCAGAATACGAGGCCGCGCGGCACAAACGGGAGAAGAGGAAGGAGAACAAGAGCCTCGCGGGCTCCAAGCGGGGGAAGGAGGACGGCAAAGACGGCGAGTTCGCCGCCATCGAGAACCTCCCGGGCTTCGAGCTCCTGTCGGATCGCGAGAAGGTGCTCTGCAGCTCTTTAAACTTGAGTCCAGCCCGCTACGTGACCGTGAAGACTATTATCATTAAAGACCACCTCCAGAAGCGGCAGGGAATCCCCTCCAAAAGCCGCCTTCCCAGCTACCTGGACAAAGTCCTAAAGAAAAGGATTTTGAATTTCCTCACAGAAAGCGGCTGGATCTCCAGGGATGCATCTTGAAGCTGAGACGCTTTGAAAGTCTGTGATGCCCAGACCGCGCGCCAGCCAAAATGACTTGGGGGAGGGGAGCCACTTCCCCACTGTTGCTCTTTTTTAAACAAATTGAGTTCCTTTTTTAAGATATAAATTCTTTTCATGGTCCTCTGAAAGAAGCAATAGCAAGTCTTATACTGGATCATGGGGGAAGCAAATGTGTCCGTTTTAACTTAGACCTGCAAGCCACACACTGAGCGGATGCTCAGCCTTTATCTGTTCAGTTTGGAGCTTATTGTGACTGGAGAACTTCCTTTTGTTTTGTGAGTGTTCTTCCCTTTGGGTACAAAAGCTATCGTGGGGTACAGGGGCAGTGTTTTCCTGCTGGACTGACAAGCCATCAGTGATTTCCTGGTGACACAAGCTCTTCTCAGGTGGGGATGCCTGCAGGCTCCCCTTTTCTGAGCCCATGCTGCCCACAGCTGACCCCAGTGCAGCCCCGGGCACACGGCACTTTATGTGGGGGCAGCTTGAGCCCAGACCCCTCTGCTGTGTAGCAGATGCGGAACATCAGGCCAGAGGACAACAGGCTGGTGTTTCCTTGGGAACTGAAGAGGAATCGGTTGAACACAGCGACCAGATGACCTTCCACTTGACTACTGGTGGCAGCAGGTTGAGCGTGCAGTTCCCAAATCCCAAAGCTGACCCTGCGCCTCCTTTGAACATGGCCAGAACCTGCTGGTTCACTTTGGGTAGAGCCGTAGGCCTCGGGCAGGCTTCCGTGGGAAAGCACGTTAGCGGGAGGTTACACAGGACACACGGACCGCCAGGACCTCTCAACCCATTTTCATGGCTGGTCGTTGCCGCTTTTAGACGTGCAGCGCATTTCACTTGGAAGAACCCATTGTGAAAAGTTCAAAGCTAGGAGTTCTGGATTCTGGTGAAAGCTTCCTCAGGATTTTCTTCAGTTGCAAGTACCCTTCCACCGAAAATGAGCACGCCCTCCTGGCTAAGCATCTTTTAAGAGTGTTGCCAGGCCCACGCCAGAGCCATCTGACCAGTTGGCTGGTGGCAGATCTCGTGGAGCACGAGGGAAGCCAGGTGGTTCCCCTGAGCCTTGAGCTGCTGCTCTCTGTTCACTGTCTTGAATCACACTCAGAAATGGCTTCTTCCTAGCCCTGCCTACAACATTTTCTCTGGGCCCTTTCAAGGATGTCCACGGTACCTTCCTCCTGAACCTTGAGGAAGTCTTCAGTCTTCCGGCTGCTCAGGGTTCTCCGGTCCAAGACCCTGCTTTAAATGTGGAGTGCTCAGACTCCAGCACTCTCCTCTTCCAGGAGGTTGACTTGCCTCTCGGGCCCTGTAGGTACCAAGAGACCGTTTACCTCCCAGAATGTTTGGGCTTGAATTTACATTAAAGTGAAGTTATTTCAAAGAAAGAAAACCTCATCATTTCTAAGGATGACTTAATTACTGTGCCTTTTCCTTTCTTTTTACATCCTTCGGTCCCTTAGGGTAAAATTTTCAGCATTAACTAAAACATTTCAAATATATTGTATATGGCTTTAGTTGTAAAGTATATTGCATGCTGACAGAGAAGTGCTCCCTTTCAGCTAAGCCCAGAACTTCTTTTTTCACAGTAAAGTACTGAGCAGTGGTATCATGAGGGCCACCTCCACATTGTCCCCTGCAGAATAAATGCGGATGACAGAAAGCTCATGTTGTCTACCACTGAACAGTGTTGGAGATGGTGCTAAGTTTTTACAGTTGTCTTAGCCCCACTGGTTCTCAAAGGGGGCGGTTCCTGGCCCAGCAGCACCATCCCTTAGGAACTTGCTAGAAATGCAGACACGCAGGCCCCACCTGGCCTTCTGAATCAAACTGGGATGCAGTGAGCTGTTTTAACAGGCCCTCCAGGTGACTGGATGTAAGCTCGCTTGAGAACCATGGGTTTTAGCTATTCTGGTGTCTCCCTGATTTTCTACAATGCCAGGATCCTAGTTTGGTGAGGTTTTAAATTTAGTCTTATTTTTATATTAAATGATTGCCAGACTTTTATGAAGCTTGAAGCAGCAGATGATCCCTGTCAATGTGTATGGCCCAGGCCAAGAGCTGTCAAATGAAAAACTGCTGAAGCAGGTTTCTAGTATATATATCTTTTTGATGGTATGAAGAATTTATTTAGGCTTGACTGTTTTAAAACACCATAATGAATGTATAATTAATTTATGTTAAAGTATTAACCCTTTGTTCCAAGGGAATGGTCATGTGATTGGCTGCTGCTTAGCCCATCGACTATTCCCGTCACGGTAGTCCTTAGATCCTAACCTCTGTCGGCAGCTCAGAACCTCCACATTTATATTTGATTCTCATGATAAATCAGCCACCATAATCCCATGGAATTAGGTCTTGTTAAAATCTAAGCAAACTATCTTTGAGTCAAAAAAGCTGGGTAACTCTTCATTGCTGTCTGAATGGCCAACATTCCAAGAATGTATTAAAAACAGCAACACCATTTTGATTACCCTTTTCCATATTAAACAAGTTGAGAACAAAAGTGTGTCACTGCTTGCTTCTTACCTCATTCTGAACCGCTTTGGTGTCTTCTCAAAGCCACACAGACCTGAGGGTAGGCCACAGTTCAAACACAGACTGTCACATGACATACTTCAGTTTGGTACTTTGATTCAGATGAGTTTTTCCTCCAGAAAATTATAAAGTTGCTTTCTCTTAAGCAGAAACCCTTTCATGCCAGCTGCTCTCCTCCCTCAAAGCAGCAGAAGAGAAAGTGAAGTGAGTCTGAGTCTTTCAGGGAGCCAGGCTGGCTTCCACACGCCTGAGAGCTCCCGTCCTGGTTTTGACTGTCCACACTATATGAACCTGACACATGCTGCAACTATGCTAAGCCCAGTCACTACTAGAATGTAGCTGAGAAATCTTCAATGTCTACTGTAAATATGTATGTAATTAAAAGACATTTTCCTGTTACAGGTTGAGTAGGAATTTGAAGTGCTGCAAAATCTGAAACTTTGAACCCTGCCATGACATTCAAGATGCTCATTTAGAGCATTTTTTTTTTTTTTTTTTAAGAGTTTTGCTCCTGTTGTCCAGGCTGAAATGCAACGAATGGAGCAATCTCGGCTCACTGCAACCTTCGCCTCGCGGGTTCAAGTGATTCTCCTGCCTCAGCCTCCCAAGTAGCTGGGATTACAGGCATGTACCACCACGCCCTGCTAAATTTTTTGTATTTTTAGTGGAGACAGGGTTTCTCTCTGTTGGTCAGGCTGGTCTCCTGACCCTAGGTGATCTGCCCACCTCAGTCTCTGAAAGTGCTGGGATTACAGGCGTGAGCCACAGTGCCCGGCCTAGAGCATTCTGGATTTTGGGACTGGGGATACTTAACTAGTAAGTATAATGCAAATAGTCAAGCAGGGAATCTAGTTTCAGTCAATGAGGGACTGCATATTAGAACTCGTATTTTCACGGTACCTTTCCTATGTTGAGGCATGTTCAGATACGTAGGTATCACTGTGTCAACAGTTCCCGACAGTCGAACTTATCAGTACAGTAACATGCTCTACAGTCTAGCAGCAGTAGGCTGTGCTATATAGCCTAGGTGTGGAGCAGATGACACCACCTGTGTTTTTTAGGTACACGTGGTGTTCGCAGGAAGAAACTGCCCGACGACGCATTTCTCAGAACACATCCCTGTGGTTAAGCCATGCTCAACTATATTCCAAAATCTGAAGAAAAAAAAAAACCCTAAATTTGAAACACTTCTGGTTCTAAGCATTTCAGATGATATCCAACCTATAGTGTTGACTGTAGATGACTGAAACTCAGTGTAAAAAAATATTCTGCCATATTAAGCAATATTGCCTCTAGGTAATGTGACAAGTGCTTTTTAGCAATTGCAATTGTAGCTGAAAAGGGAGGAGACTGCAGTCATCAAATTAGTTGATAATCACTGAAATGCCTTCGTTTCCACAGGGCGATGACGCATGTATAACAGCACAGTGAAAACAGGCAGCGCTGGCGCTCCCAGTCCTGTTTTCTCCAACATACTAACTATGCTGCCTTCAGTTGTTTCTGATCAAATTAATTTAAGGTATCTTAAAGGAGGAAAATGTTTGGGAATGGTATCCCAAGTTGAAATATTATGGGACCACTACCTGCACCTTTTAAAATTAGAAGCGAAATAGTAAACTGACTGCACCCCATCTCTTCTATGGAGTAAATGGCTTTCATCGGTATCTTCAATTCTCGAAGCACCTCTCCTAGAAGCAAACGCAGCAAAAGGTTAGCTTTTCTCTCATTCATAAGAGACTCCAATCACTCAGCCTTTTTCTAAGCCCTAGATGACCATGTAAATGAGGAAGAGAGTGAGTCCTTTGGCAAGAGTCCTCGGATCACCTTTTCCAAGTCCTGTGCCCTTGCTGCAGCTTCTGGGTGTCTCATATTCTCACCATGACAGGCGCAGCTGCACCAGGGGAGTGTGGCTCTCCCTTTCCATGTAGAAACATGTGTACGCATGCGTGCATGCGTGCGTGAAGCTGACAGCTTCAGGGCTGGAGCAGAGAATGGGAAGGATAAGTCATGCCTGCCTCAACAGTAAGGATCTCCACCAGAGGACACAAAATTGTTATCAGAAAGTAGGAAAATAAACATTAGGGCTTTAATCCTCTTAAATAAAATTTTTAAATTAAACATCAACATTTAAAGACACCAGTGTGCAGTTCTATTTTGAGAAAGTCCATTTTGCCAGGAAACATACCTTGAGGTCGTTAGTAACTAGCTGGGTATGATTTAAATGTGTCTGCATTTAGGTGAACAAAACAGGGTAAAATAAACTTGGCCAAGGTCAATTCCTGGCCAAAGAAAGGTGCTGAGGATTGTCAGTGCCCACACACATTTCTCAGTGGTCAGTTTCAGTCGGCTGTTGACTGATGACAAACGAACTCACTGTTCTTCACAAAGATCATACTATTTTTAAAGTAAGAAAAAGGTTTCAACTCTTGCCTTCCCTTTAATGAATGAAATGTACAATGGGCTAAGTGTGCCAAGTTGCTCACGCACCGCAGTGAGCCGCGGGGACACTCAGTGCAGACTGGTGCGTCCACGCAGCCAAATGAAATTCCCCGATTTTTATTTGTTTAAAATACTTTGGTGTCAGGAGAGTCTGGGCAGACACGTAAACTCATGATGCTCTGGACACCCGGCAGGGCCCACCGAGCTCTTCAGAAAGTCTGTGGAAAGACTCAACGTGTGGCACTAACAATCAGGGAACGGACTCCTGAATCAGGGTTCAGTAACGCAACTGTGCAATCGGCTTCATTTTCTGTTTAGCCACTAGTTACTTCGCTTTCCAACAAGGTTTGGGAAAAGGTCAAATGTGCTCACAGATGAGAAACAATGAAGCAGCCTTAGGAGTTACAGCATTAAAAACCACCCACCCCATCAACGGCAGCTAAGCCTCCTTCACCACCCCCACCAGGGCGGGTCTCAGAGTGCGCCCATGCAGCTTGTACCCCACTTTGCTAACTAGGGCCACTGTGCCCGGCTCCTTCCCCTCTACCGGCGCGTGGAACAAGGCCTCATGTTCATAAGGGTCGAACTTGGCTCCGACAGGGTTCAGCTTGAGCAAGCCGTGCTTGGTAAACACCTTCTGGATCTGGACCTCAGTCATGACCAGCCCCTCGTAGAGGTTCTTCAGGTGAGGGTTATCGTCCTTAATTTCTTCTTTTGGAACACACTGCGTGGCCTTCTCCAGAACGTCAGCTACCTCCAGCAAGTCCTTGCAGAAAGCCTGAATGCCTAAAGTGAAGGAAGATCATTCGCACTCGGTAACAATGCACACGGCAGTTCCAAACTGTGAGCACTGCTGACCTGATGGGTAAGCAATTCAGTAACTTGTCACATCAGTCGCCTCAGAAGTCCAATAGTTTGGTCATTTTAAGAACCACCACCACAAAACCCCCAAAAGTCATTTATGGGATGAGACCTAGAATTTACTAAAGTGTGAAGAAAGGAGCATAGCAGAGGGGAAAATACCCTCGTGACATCCAGGCCCAGATGTCGAGTAAGCAGTAAGATACAGAGGACTGGAACGTGGAGGATCTGAGCTAGAAGCGAGACCTGTGTGTGGATGCCACTAAGCCCAGAGGAGTATGCAAGTTACTCAGGGAGCACAGCAACGGGGGTGAGGAGGCCTGGTGCCGAGTCCCCAGGAGCCTAGACATTTACAGGTCAGAAAGGTTAGAGGCACAGTAACAAGGAACAGGCCACAGCATCCAGGAAAGTGTTTCAAGGAGCCGAGCGCTTCAGTCTCTGTGCATGCGACGATGACTCTGGCTCTTAGTTCCCACGTGGCCTCTCACCCTGCCTGGCCTGGGGCAAACCACTGACCCTCCTTGAGCCTTAGGCTCTGCATCCCTAACACCAACTGTCAGTCACGCAGAGGCCCACGGCCAGCACTCAAACACCAGCCTGTGGAGCTGGGAGCCTGGGTTATTTACTAGCTTTGTGATGTGTGGTGGATCACTAAACCTCAGTGATCTCAACTGTAAAATGGGAATGACAGTGACAAAAATATCCAAAGGTGGCAATGCATACAGCATGCTGGGAGCTCTGAACTGACGCCAGTGTTGCCTCCGGAGCGCGAAGGGGATGGGCGTCAGAGGCCGGCCCGCTGCAGGCTCCCACCGAGGTCTCTATGTGGGGGTGGACATGCCTAGTCACAATCCTTCATGCAGGGGCTGCCACTGCTGGGCCCCGCCCCACAGCCTTGCTCTCTGACACTGCCACACGCATGGCCTTCCTCACCGCCCCGATGGGATCCTTTCCAGAATCCACACCACGCTGCGTTTTAAGTACCGTATAATTTTGCCTCCTCCACCAGTTTTTGGCTCCTCTGCCGCAAGTTCTCAGTGTCTGCCAAAGCTCGTTTATATTTTTCCTAAAAGAAAAAAAGGAAAAGGGAGATTTGTATTAATACAGAACAAAGTCATAGGAAAGCAAGCCATTTGTGGGATGAGACCCAGAATTGACTAAATTTACTAAATATAACTGACTCTGAGTCAAAACAGCAGTAACATTCATTATTACCTTTGAGATGTGACTAAGCAGTCCAGCTTAATGAAAGCTGCCCTCACACTCTAAATGTTCAATGCTGCCCAGAGGGGGCTCAGTTCAAATACTCTTTGTGTGATCATCTGAGTTCTAGTATATTCCTCATGTCTCACTACCTTCCTGTAAGCTCACTCATTTGAGCTTTTCTTTTTTTTGGAGACAAGATCTCACTCTATCGCCCAGGCTGGAGTACAGTGGTGTGATCTTGGCTCACTGTAGCCTCAACCTCCTGGGCTCAAGCAATCCTCCCACCTCAGCCTCCTGGGTTGCTGGGACGACAGGAGTGCACCATCATGCCCAGCTAACTTTTTATTTTTTAGAGACGGAGTCTCACTATGTTGCCCAGGCTGGTCCTGAACTCCTGGGCTCCAGCAATACTCTTGCCTCAGCCTTCCAAAGTGCTATCAGAGAGGTAAGGCACTGTGCCCAGCTAGCTTTTCTCTCTTTAACATTTCCCGAACTGCTCTGTGGGGGCCTCTACACCGCATCTATTTGCAGTCTTCAGGCAATCACTGTGCAGTAGCGAGGGGCAAGGGCCCCAAGACCAGATGCTCCCGGCTCGAGCCCTGGGCTCTGCACCTGGCAGCAAGAATGAGCACAGGTAACGGGCGTGGAACGGTGCAAGCACTCAGGGTCTGATGTCATTCTGAAACCCTTAAGGAACTTGATTTGTGCTACCCATGTGTTTTCACATGCAGTAATAATCCATATAACTAATTCGTAAAACTCCTACCTGCCTCTGAGAGCATGACATAAAACCACACTCCTGCCCCCAACTCTTGTACTTAGAATGTTCTGCTGCTTCTCCTAAGTCCCGGCCTAACACCTTACTGAGTAGTCCTCATTTGTAAAGTTTAACTCAACGACAAATACAAGCGTGTAATGATTATTCTCTTGCTGGAATCGGAGCCGCACAGGATTTGGGTTCTACTCCTTGCTTTGGCCGTAACTGGCCACCTGAGCCCCCTGCAGGCTATGGACAACGGCTGAACTCTAGCTTTGGTCTGTCACCAGTGAAACCTGGAACCTTTACGTTGCCCATGGGAGAAACAGTTCAGCTGAGCCCGTCCCCACAGGAGCCTGACAGTCCTCACCACAGTCTCCTTCAGCTGCTCCTCCAACTTGACCTTCTGTTCCTGGAGGGTCTTCTCTGTAGCAGGAGGATCTGCCTTCTGTTCACTCTGACCCACGTCCTCTTCCGGGTTCTGGCCACTGTTCTTCTGTTTCGTGGCTGTGCACAACAACCGTGGAGAGGGCCTGCAGAGAAGTCCACACAGAAGAAATGAAGACTTGGTTTCTGTGCTTATTAAAATCAGATGCATGATTTTAGAAACTTAAAATAACTTGCAACCTCCGCCTTCCGGGTTCAAGCAATTCTCTTGCTTCAGCCTCTGGAGTAGCTGGGATTACAGACCTGTGCCACCACACCCAGCTAACTTTTTATATCTTTAGTAGAGGTGGGGTTTCCCCATGTTGGCCAAGCTGGTCTTGAACTCCTGACCTTGTGATCCACCCGCCTCGGCCTCCCAAAGTGCTGGGATTATAGGTGCAAGCCACTGCGCGGGGCAACTTAAAATAACTTCAAACTATTTAATATTACTCAGGGAGAAAACACTTCTCTTAGATCCATAAAGGCACACTGTAAAGCTATGCTCGTAAACGTAAATATAATGCGCCTTTATCAGATCACAGATAAACATATATGTATTTTTAGTGACAGGGTCTCTCTCTCATATATATATATATATATATATATATATATATATTTATTTTTTATTTTAATTTTCATTTTTTATTTTTTGAGACAGAATCTTGCTCTGTCACCCAGACTGGAGTACAGTGCAACCTCTGTCTCCCGGGTTCAAGAGAACCTCCCACCTCAGCCTCCTGAGTATCTAGGGACTACAGGCGCTCGTCACCACACCTGGCTAGTTTTTGAATTTTTAGTAGACATGAGTTTTCACTATGTTGGCCAAGCTGGTCTTGAACTCCTGACCTCAAGTGATCCACCCGCCTTGGCTTCCCAAAATGCTAGGATTACAAGCATGAGCCACCTCACTTGGCCTCTCTCTATAAATTTTTAGAGACAGGGTCTCACTATCACCCACGCTAGAGTACAATGGTACAATCATAACTCACTGTAACCCCGAACTCCTGGGCTAAAGTGATCCTCCCACCTCAGCCTCCCAGACTGCTGGGATTACGGGCATGAGCCACTGTGCCTGGTCTTTTTTATTTATATAAGATCTTCTGTAGCACGTGCCTAAACTTACACGCCAATGTGCCAAGTTACAGTACTTGGTATAGAACAGACTAACCTCCTCTTTCCATTCTAAGGTGACTTCTGAGGCAGCCAGCCCAGACCTCACCACATATTTATGGAATAGCTACTACTAGAGGTGAGACCCAGTTGCTGATCCTGATGACAAAGATAGACCCAGCAGAGATCTTGCCCACAGGGCACTTGCCACCATGCAAAAAAAGACATCTATACACCAAGAACTGTAATTTGGGATTTAAAAATGATTAAAGCTGGGTGCAGTGGCTCACACCTATAATCCCAGCACTTTGGGAGGCTGAGGCTGGTGGATCACCTGAGGTCAGGAGTTCAAGACCAGCCTGACCAACATGGAGAAACCCTATCTCTACTAAAAACACAAAATTAGCCAGGTGTGGTGGCACATGCCTGTAAACCCAGCTGCTTGGGAGGCTGAGGCAGGATACTCGCTTGAACCTGGGAAGCAGAGGTTGCGGTGAGCCGAGATTGTGCCATTGCACTCCAGCCTGGGCAGCAAGAGCAAAACTCCGTCTCAGAAAAGAAAAAAAAAAAAGAAAAAGGAAAAAAAAAGGTGATTAAAAAAAAGGAACTATGTGCTTTGGGAGGCTCAGAATAGAAGGACATACCTAGCTTGGGGAAGGGAAGACCATGAAAGGCCTTGAAGGATAGTTAAGAGTTACACAAAAGGGATCGGAGGTGGGACTGGGTCGGGATAGATGCAGCTTCAGGAAGAGGAAAGTGCTTGGTCAAAGGCGTGGACAAGAAAGCGTGGGGTATGTACAGGTAAAAGAGACCAAGAACTCTAAAACTACTATTGCAAGTGACTTAAGGCATTATCTGATCCTATGCCCACCGCCCACCGGGAAAAGGTTAAGTGATAAGCCCACGTCACAAAGCCATTAATGAATGATAAAGCCTTAAAACCTAGATTTCGTCATCAGGACCAGAGGAACGTTTTTTTTTGTTTTGTTTTTTGTTTTTTTTTTTGAGATGGATTCTCACTGTCACTTAGGCTAGAGTGCAGTGGCATGATCTCCACTCACTGCGACCTCCACCTGCTGGGTTCAGGCAATTCTCCTGCCTCAGCCTCCTGCGTAGCTGGGACTACAGGCACATGTTACTATGCCCGGCTAATTTTTTGTATTTTTAGTAGAGAAGGGGTTTCGCTATGCTGGCCAGGGTAGTCTCAAATTCCTGACCCCATGATCTACCAAACTCGGCCTCCCAAAGTACTGGGATTACAGGTATGGGCCACTACACCCAGCTTGAGGAACTCTTTTTAAATTATGCCACAGTCCAATCTGTGAATAAACTATGATAGATTTTCTTCCCAGATTAAAACAGGAAGACTGTCAGCACATGGAATTCACAGGCAAGGTGGTTTATTGCAGCACTGTGGAGTGACAAGTTGGAAACAATGTTTGTCAGTGAAGAAATGGTTGAATAAACTTGCTAACACAATCTGGAATATTATGCAGCTACTAAAAATGAGTTAAGGTTGGGCAGTGGCTCACACTTGTAATCCCAGCACTTTAGGAGGGTGAGGAGGGTGGATCATGAGGTCAGGAGACCAAGACCAGCCTGGCCAACATAGTGAAACCCCATCTCCACCAATACAAAAATTAGCGGGGCGTGGCGGTCAGGACCTGTAATCCCAGCTACCAGCAGGCTGAGGCAGGAGTATCCCTTGAACCCAGGAGGCAGAGGATGCAATGAGCTAAGCTCTCGCCACTGCACTCCAGCCTGGGCAACAGAGCAACACTTCATTTCAAAGAAAAAAAGAGTTACATTGGTATTTCATGGACACACTTCGGGTGTTTTGTTAAGAAATGCAACTTACAGAGAAATACACAAAACAGGATTCCATTTTTGTAAAGCCAAACTAGAGATCCTGCGTACCTATTCATGTTTTAGATCTGTGGAAAGAAGCGGAGTGGGAGGATCCATTACAATCTTGCCATGGGGATGGAAAGTGATGACCTTTTTATTTTTTCTCTTGATTTAAAAAGCTAAGAATCTAAATAAAAACTGAGTGTACTGAGTGTGCTGTGAGGGAGGCCCACCTCCCTCTCCAGCTGCTCTGTCTGGGGGTGTGACAGCCACCAGGCTTTCTGCAGGTCAGCTCTGCACAGCCCCGTTTCGGAAGTACAGCCAACACAAGGTGTGGACAGGAACGCAACAGGACCCAGACTGAGCGCCGTCTCGCTCTGCAGAGGGAAACTGAGTCTCAGAGAGCCTAGTTACTGTGAGAGCTATGACTACCAGTCAGCTCTCCTGACTCTCCCTAGTTGAGCATCATTCCACAAAACTACCCTTCCAGAGACAGAAATGATACTGACTTGCTGGTCACTTTCCTGGCAATTAATTCCAATACAAAACCACTAACTACTTGACCAAAGTCTTTTTACTCAAGTGTTCCACGTGGGTTGCTGCTCTTGGCTCCTAAGATTTTAAGACATAGTTTATTAAGCTAGCACTCACCCCTTAATCACCTCCACTGAAAGTGATCTTCACCTCACCTGCCTGCTCTTCTTCAGGGAAAAGCGCATTTCGCTGCCCAGCTTTTAACTCAATTTGGCCCTCGGTGGCTTCTCCCATCAATAACTTGGTTCTAGGCAGTTCCTCCAGTAAACAACACACTAAGTACTTGCCATACTAACTTCTGGGGTAGAACTTTTAAAAACCACAAGCGGCAGCATTTAAAAAAAAAAAAAAAAAAAGAGGGCACTGACTTTCATGACCCTCAAGCCCGAAGCGTGCGCTTGTCTAAAACTCTTCGTCCAGCAGTAGCACAGGCTTGACTGCTCTTTTGACCTCAGACGCTGGAGAAGGCGGAGTGATGAAATTCGAGGCTGGGTGGAAAAAGCCCGTGAACGGTCAACACGCGCCTTGCGACACGAACTTCCCGAGCACCGCTGTGGCCCCGGCTTCCAGCCGCCGCACGGAAATGAGTAACTACAGCTCCTACCCAGTGCACACCCGGCCGGGCTCGACCTTGCGACGTGACTGACCTTGGACAAGCTTTTTCAACCGCACGAGTGCCGCCGCCTCTGCGTCCATGAGCGCCTGGGCCATAGGCGCGCGCGAGGCGTCGCCCGCAGGCCCCGGCCCTCACGCGCACGTGGGCCACCGTCCCTCCCAGGCCGGACGCCCCCGCGCTGCGGTCCTCTCCTTCTAACAAAGCGCCCGCCCGCTCCACGCTTCCCGTCCAGGAGGCCATGCTCGGCCTTTCCCAAGCCTCGTGCGGGCAGCCCGGCCGCAGAGCAGGCGCCGGCCGGGCGGTCTGGATTCCGCAGCGGGGAACCGCGAGCCCGAAGACGCCCAGCTTCAGGGCCGAGGCTAGGAAGGAGTTCCTGGGGCCAGGAAAGGCCCCAGTCGGAGCGGGGGTTGGCGCTCCCACCTCAGCCCGGGAAAGCCGAGTGCCCCTTACCTGAGAGACAACGCCAAAGCCGGAAGACTGCGCTGCACCAGCCTCACGCACTGAGCCGCCATGACTGCCACCGCCTGCCGCCGTAGCCGCCGTCACCGCGCACGCACCAGGCATGCGCGTAGGCAGCTGTAGCCTCTTCTCCGCCCCACTACTTTGCCTCAGCCAATCTGTAACCGCTTTTTCCGTTATGGACAGGCAAGGGTCACCAATAATTGTGGGTCACAGAAGACCACCTTCATCCCTCCCGGTGGGCGGGGCCTGAGGCTTCCGGGCGCCCCCCAAAGAGGTGAAAGGTGAAGTGTTGGGAGGAGCCTCCAGTGGGCGGGGCGATGCCGGGAGGAGCCAATGAGGAGGCAGCGTGAGGGGGCGGGGCCGGCGCCGGGCTCGGGGGCATGCGTCGTGGCGGGCAGGGAGGGACCTGGGAGCAGGGTTTGGGGTTCAAGCGCAGTGCCAGCGTCCGGCTTTCCGGGCCGCTCCCACACCTGCGCGGTCACCCCTGGCCTCCGTTTGCTCTGGCTCTGGGAACGGGCGTGGGGAGGCCTGTTGACCCTTACACCCCGGCTCTGGAGCGGCGCAGAACACTTCGTGTTTGCCAAGTGCGCTAGTGCTGCCCGAAAAGCGGCGCAGGTGCTTGAGAAATAACCGCAGAGGCAGCCCTTGGGAAGGCGCGCCCATCCTACGCTGCTTCTGCGGGCGCCCGAGGCGGAGGGGAGAAGGCACTGGGGTCTCCGTCTCAACCAGTGAGTTCTGGTGAGACGGGAAACAAACCCCAGGAAGCAAATGGGACAAAAATGTTAGCGGTTTCGATGATGCTGGATGCTGGGAATATTTTGTACCTTTCTGTATTTCCAGTTTTCTCCAAACACGAAAACCATACTAAAAACAGCGTATAGAAAACGTTGGAACACAACTAAAGCTCAAAAATGCACGCGTTTTCATAACCTGACCGAGGTCCGTGCTGCTGTAGCGCGTACCCCCAAGAGCAGAGGTGCCGGAAGAGCCGGGGCCGCGAGTTCTTACCGCCCTGGTGCTGTGCCTGCTCGCAAGCGTGGTCCTCGCGGGAGATAGGGCCTGGCTCCCACTTCAGCACAGGCTGGCTTCCAGTGCAGTTCTGACGGCCAGGATCTGAGGGCTGGAGCCCATGCCCTCCCCAGGATCTGAGGGCTGGAGCCCGTGCCCTCCCCAGGATCTCAGGGCTTGAGCCCGTGCCCTCACCGGGATTTGAGGGTGGAGCCCGTGCCCTCCCCAGGAACCCAGGGCGCGAGCTGGTGGCTTCTCGAGTGGAGTGTTGCCTGCTTGTTGCATTAGTGAATGTAGGACCGTTTGAGTAAAGGACCAAACCTTTATTCTTTTGCTTTTTTCCCATTGAAACCATTCATTCAACCCATGCTGATTTAATCCTACTATTTGCCAGATAATATGCCGCTTGCAGAAAGACGCACACAGCCAAACCCCAAGTGTGGGATGTTGTACAGGACAAATGACCCTGTCAATTAATACCAGTCATTAAGATAATAGTATAATCAGAATGATAATATAATTAATTGGAGCCTGGAGAAAAAAAAAAAGTGGAATTGAACCATCAGAGAATAAGCTTAAAAGATATCATTGAGTTGAATGTGTGGAACTTATGTGGATCTTGATAGAACAAACCAGCTCACACGAGGCATTTGAGAGATAGGTAGGGGAGACCGGGCGCAGTGGCTCACGCCTGTAATCCCAGCACTTTGGGAGGCTGAGGCAGGCGGATCACGAGGTCAAGAGATCAAGACCATCTTGGCCAACATGGTGAAACCCTGTCTACTAAAAATACAAAAATTAACTGGACGTGGTTGTGCATGCCTGTAGTCCTAGCTACTCGCGAGGCTGAGGCAGGAGAATCGCTTGAACCCGGGAGGTGGAGGTTGTGGTTAGCCGAGATCGTGGCATTGCGCTCCAGCCTGGTAACAGAGTGAGACTCCATCGAAAGAAAGAAAGAGAGAGAGAGAGAGAGAGAGAGAGAGAGAGAGATAGAGAAAGAAGGAAGGAAGGAAGGAAGGAAAGAGAGAGAAAGAAAGAAGGGAGGGAGGGAGGGAGGAGAAAGGAAGGAAGGAAGGAGAGAGAGAAAGAAAAAAGAAAAGAGAAAAGAAAAAAAGAAAAGGAAAGAAAGAAAGAGGTGGGGGAAATTGGGATTGGAATGTAAACTGGGTATATGATGAAAACTGGGAGTTATGAATACTTTTGGTAGGGAGCAGTAAGGGCCTTGTGGGTAAAATGTCCTAACCTTTAGAGAAGCAAATGGAAGTATTTATAGTAAATTACCCCTATGGCTGGTATTTGCTTTGTAAATTCTCCATTAAAAAAAGAAGGCCAGGCTGGGCACGGTGGCTCACGCCTGTAATCCCAGCACTTTGGGAGGCCGAGGTGGGTGGATCACGAGGTCAAGAGATTGAGACCATCCTGGTCAACATGGTGAAACCCCGTCTCTACTAAAAAAAAATACAAAAAATTAGCTGGGCATGGTGGCGCGTGCCTGTAATCCCAGCTACTGAGGAGGCTGAGGCAGGAGAATTGCCTGAACCCAGGAGGCGGAGGTTGGGGTGAGCCGAGATCGCACCATTGCACTCCAGCCTGGGTAACAAGAGTGAAACTCCGTCTCAAAAAAAAAAAAAAAAAAAAAAAAAAAGAAAAGAAAAGAAAAAGAAAAATCAAGGCCAGGTGAAACACAAGTGGTAAATGTTGATGACAGTGGATGCTGGGTGGTGAACGCCCAGGAGTTATGACAATTTTCTCTTCTTTTGCATATGCTTGTAGTTTTCTGCAATAACATTTATTTTATTTTATTTTGAGACAAAGTCTCACTCTATTGCCCAGGCTGGAGTGCAGTGGCGCAATCTCAGCGCACTGCAACCTCCGCTCCCGGTTGAAGCGATTCTCACGTGTCAGCCTCCCTAGTAGCTGGTACTACAGGTGCGTGTCACCACACTTGGCTGATTTTTGTCTTTTTAGTAGAGACGGGGTTTCACCGTGTTACCCAGGTTGGCCTCAAACTCCTGAGTTCAAGCAGTCCACCCTCTTCAGCTTCCCAAAGTGCTAGGATTACATGTGTGAACCACTAGACCCAGGCTTTCTGCAATAAAATTTACAACAGTATCTCAGCTTTCTTACTGGCTGTGGGGCTCAGAGGGAATCAGATGGGCATCTTGCAGCTCAGAGCCTGATGATGAGTCGTAGCTGCTGTGTCCCAAGACGGATGAGCACAGGTCGTCCCAGGGGGATGCCACCTTGGGGACTGTGAACCTCCGCGGAGCCCAGGCCAGCCACCAGGCCATGCCCTGTCCATATCCAAATGTGTGGGATTTCTCTGATCTGCCAGAAAAAGGCCTGACACCTCGTGGCCACATCAGGAACTGCTCCACAGGCAGTCCGCTATTGGGAACCTACCTGCCCAGGTAGCTCCGTGAGGTCTGGAACTGCACCACAGTGCAAGTTCTCTTTATGTGGAGGTGAAGCTGCCTGTGTGGAAGACTCTTGGGTCAGTCGTCTGAGCACACGTCCAGCAATGGGCATGGATGGCCTAGCCAGAGTCTGGGGGTGCAGGAAGAGCTGACTGTACAGCACGTGCTGCCCCTAACAAACACGTGGTGTTTAAAAAGAAAAAAAAGGTCGTGCAGATGGTCTGACAGTCTGTCGACCGTGGGTGTGGTGCTCATGGCAGCCGAGCACTGCCCGGGCAACAGACTGTGTGCTGGGTGCTTCAAAGTTGTCCTCTTGGAGATCAGGCCAGCTGTGGTGAGGTGGGGAACCAGGCTCAGCCAGGTTAGGTCACTTCCACAAGGTCATGTGGGTGTAAGAAAGAACTCTTGTGTATTTCTCCTAACTGAGCCCACAGTCTGCAGGGCTGAAGCCAGAACCCACATGTGTTCAGCACAGGGTGATTGCTGTCATGAGCTGCGTTGCTGTGATCCCTTGGCAAGGACACGAATTTTCATCCTTTTATTTAACTTTGAGAGAAGCAAATTGAGAAAAATATGAGTATGATGGGCCATGGCAGACAGAAGTCTAAAGGTGGGCCCACTGACTTGTACCCCTGGCTGTTCAACCAAACAGTAGCCTAGGTGCTGCTGTGTAGGGACTGATGGAATGAAAGTCCCAAGTCATTTGACCTTGAGAGCAGAGATTATCTGGTGGGTGTGGCCTCATGAGCCTGATGAAAGCAGGGCGCTTTCTCCAGCTGTCAGCAGAAAGGAAGGTCGAATTCAGTATGTGAGAGAGGCTGGAATTAACATTGCTGGTTTGAAGGAGGAAGTGTTTGTGTGAGAAGGCGTGTGAGTGACTTAATAGAAGCAGAGTGGTCCCCAGCCAGGGAACGAGGACCCCAGAGCTGCAGCCGCTAGGAGCTGGACTCGGGGCCACCTGAATGCACCTGGAGGATTCTCCCCCAGAGCCTTCGGGGAAGAGCTCATCCCAGCCACCGCCTTGATTTAGACCTTGTGAGACCTGGAGTGGAGAACCCAGTTTAATTCACTTAAGCCATATAGTAACCCTGTGGGGCGGGCATTACTTTTTGTCTCCCCGTTTTGTCTTGTCTTTGGGTTTTGGTACCCGGAGTGGATTCATCATAAACTTTGGTTCCCATTCTCATCCTCACGCCTGCCTTACACCCGGCCTGCTTCTGTGTGTTTAGCTGCTGCAGTCAGCATCCCTGGACCCACCACACAGAAGAAACCGAGTTTCCCAGGTGAAGAGACTTGCCTGAAAAGGGGTTAACTGACAACTTCGCAGCCGGCCCACTGCTGCTTCCCCTCGCACGCTGGCTCCAAACTGAAATTGATGTTCTGGGTAAGAAAAATAGCAGCATAAGGGGCCTCAGACGTTTGAGTTGAAATAATTTGAAATTACGTAAAGCGCCAGACTTCAGGAGAGGTGGTTTAATTGGGATAATGAGTTGCACGGAGAATAAGCAAAGGCAAAGTTAATTAACAGTCATTTCCCTGAGACTGTTTGAAGGAGAGAGCGAGCTGCCTGGTCGCTGTGGAATCCGGGTGTGATTCAGGTGCCTGCCGTTGGCATGATCACTTCTCCCCCGAGGCAGCCGGGGCAGCCACAGAGGTGGGCGTGAGAGGCGCCTTGGCTGGCCCGAGGGCAGGGGAGGAAAGAGGAGGCAAACCCCATGGAGCTGGAGGAGATCTTAAAAGCCCATGGATGTGAGAGGTAATTGGAATCAAAAGCCGATTAAATGGTTCCTTACG